TCTTTCTTATAGATCAGTTTGATCTCATTCAGTAAGCCTTCATAGTCTTAGTGCATCAGCTTCATTGCCCTCCAGATAATGCCTTCTAATGCCCTTCTATTCTTTTTCAATTGCTTGCAACATTCTACAGTCTACACCCACCTATTTTCCTTGGTAAATATTCAATATTTTTCTGGCTTTCCTATCCAGGACTTTTAGTTCTGGTGCTTATATTTGATATTACAGTATTGGCATCTTTTAATAATTGTGCTAGTTGTTTCTTTGGAACAGGCTTCAATTCAGGCAACTTTATTCTGTTGTTTTTCTGCTATTCTAGATGCTGTTGTTTTGTTTTAATTTGTCTTTGTCTGAGGAGAAGGCAGAAGAGAGGGACCTGGTTTAGAAATGAAAGTGATTCAATATGCTGTCTTATATTTCCAGCTTTCATTCATTTGCCTCCAGTGTGAGCTATTTCTGGTAAGGCTTCAAAAAAATTTTGCTCTCTGTAGACCTCTGCAGTTCTTCCCATTCTGCATCTGTGAATATTTTATTTTGTATAATAATTGATGTTGATTTGCTGGCCTCTGTTGTGTTATTTCTGATTCTGGATGTTCTTTCTAGAACTGGTGCATTCTTTTCAGATATCCTCAAGAAGATTTGTAATAGCAAATCATTATTTCTTTGTTTTCAGCTTTTGCATATTTTGTGATTGGTACAAAACTTTTCTTCCAGTAACATTGCTGCATGGATGAAGGATGTAATTCATTGTCATTGTTTTTCTGGTCTTCCTAACTAGGGCTTTTAATTCTGCTCAAGTCCAATTCATAGTCCAGCTGTGGAGTGCAATTGCCCTGGTGTTAATTGCCTTGAGGGCATTTTCTTTACTGATTTGGACTTTAAGGTTTTCTTCACTCTCATGATATATTCATTTCCAGTCTTTTTCTTGATTTTAGTGTGCTTGATGTTGTCAGCTTAAAGGATGCCCAGGTATTTGTAATGATCATTTCTATCAAAACTCTTGATGTTATTTCCATAGGTCATCTTGATTCTTTCACTATCTTTTCACTATTTTCAATAAATAGTGAAAAGATATTGAAAGAATCATAAATGGCTCACTGGAATGGCATCTAAATAGTTTTCACTATTTTCCTCCTGTTGAGGGAGAGGATGGCATATTTATCCAGTCCAAACTCCATTGCAATATCTTCACTGTATATATAGACAGTGTTGAACAGTAATTCTATTTCAGATGTGTTTTTCCATACAACTTCAGATCTTCCCTGTAAAGGAAGTAAAATAGCCTGGCAGATGTTTCTGATATTTCATAGCTGTGGCCTCACTTGTTCAGTATTGTTGACAAAGGAACCAGTAAATGATAAATAGTACAAGCAGTACAAACAGTAGCAGTGATAATGCATCTCCTTGAAAGATTTCTCTCTTGGTCTATCATTGACCAGCAACTGTGTCTTCCATTGTGCCATTGATTTTTGCACAAATGCTCTGATGTTTCTACTGTTTCATTATTTCAAAGCACTTGATTATCCAATTATATGACAGGGAATCGAATACCTTTGTGTATTCAATCCTCACTATGTTAAAATTGGACTTCCTTCTCTTAACAGTTTTCAACTAGATACTGCTTAATTGCATCAACTACCTCATTAGTTAACAATTTGAAATTTGAAAGTTGTTGGTAAGCAGGTAATTGACCTATAGTTGCCTAGTGCTGGATCTTTTGTTATCAGGTAAGTTTTCCCAGATGTTAACCAATATTTGATTTCACCTCCTTGCAATATTGTTAAACAGCTTGTCAAAGAGTGGGTGTAGATCACTCAGCCAAAAAACATTAATGATAATTATTATTAATTTATTACTATGGTTCATTGCATGGTCAGCCAGATGTTCAGACTGGATTTGATATTTTTATCTACCTATCAAATTCCTCCCAAGGATATGGGATAGGCAGATGTTGATGTTTGATGGTGTTAAAGGTATCATTGCGGGATGTAAGATGTTTCAAGTAGAAGTGTGTTTTGCAACTGACTGGAACATTTTCTCATTTTATATCATGTTTTTTGTTCCAGTAAAGATATCCCATTATGTTTTTAAGGGATTAAGCTGTAATCGATTTTATAATTCTTGAAATTCTTGAAATAATTACATTATGAAAGTATCTGCTCAATTTAATGAATTAGCCCAATAAATTTGCAGTAACTTAATTAGGGTAGATTCCTCAGTTCTTATTTTTGGTTTAAAGTTTATTTCTTTGTCTCCCCAATTTTTTAATAACATGAAAATATTTAATAACATTTGTAGCATACAAACAAAAGTTAATTGTTTAGATTTGTGCCTCTTTAGAGTATTTTCCCAGCATAGACTCATGCATCTACTTTGTGGGAGGAAGTACAAAAGTCTCTGATAGTGGATTAACTGTAGTTAATTTTGACCAGAGATCTTTCTTACACAATTATTTCAACATATTTTCAACATATTCTCATTATATAGCTTTACTATGGAAATTCTTAACAAGATATTGCATGCTTTTCTATGTTATAGACCTTTACTGTTATTAGTATGAGTATACATATTTGGCGGTTTCATGTTCCATCTTGTGCTGCATAAGTGTGATTCTGTCTCATGGTACTGAAGAATTCCCCTGCCTATAATGATACTTTACAAATTACGTACAGACTCAGTGATTAGATATTTATGACTAAAAAGACACAAATAATGCATACAGGCTGGAATCTTAAATACACTTATTAAGGAATAAGCACCACTTCCAGCTATAGGATTGTTCTCCAAGTAAACATAAAATGTATTGCATAACCAAAGGATACATAATGGGATTTTACGTGACTATTTAAAATCTTAGCAAGATTATCAACTACAGGACTATTTATTTAATGCTAATGGAATTGTAGTGGTTTTGATAGTACCATTGGTATGATTGTCTAGTTAATCTGGTTAAGACGGAAGAATTCTTAAGCAGTCTTTTCAATTAAGCAGTTTATTTTTTATTATTACCTCATTCCTCATTGTAAGAGCAGCTCAGTGTCTTACAAAATATAAAACTAGTCACCATAAACTTAATATCTTAAAAGCAGAAGTAAACTTTTTTATAAAAACCCTCAAAAGCAAAATTAACAGGAAATAAATATTTTGGTTTTAAAAAGAAAGAAGAAATTCTTAAACCTTAAGCTTCCCTATGCAGTCCTTTCAGTGACATATGCAGCCTGATTCAATGTTTCTTTACTCAGAAGTCTCTAGGAAGTTTTATATACAAATACACTCTTTCATCAGTTAACACATGTCCCCTGCGCTCTTTATTTATTAGAAATAATTATTTCTCAAACACATACACCTCTTACTTTACTCATCCACTGTGGCTGAATTTCAGAACCCCACCCCCCCCAACAACAATCGTGATTTTAGGAATTCTCAAAGTAAATTTCAACCAGCGCCATAGCTTCTTTCAGAAACATATCTCTTGAGCACTATGTTACCCTTACACATGCATTCGTTGTTCTTTTTGTGTTGGCTTAAAAAAAAAAAAATAACATAACTACTCCCTGCCGATTATTTTCTCGCTTGTTTCAAGCTCTCGCATGTGCCAGCCGGGGCCATCTACAGCGCACCTCGGTGGAGACCGCACGAGCTGGAACAGCCAACAAGCTGGGACGAGCTCCTAGTGCCTATCAGACAGCTCGAGTGCCCTATCAGCGAAGGAAACGGGCGGGCCTAACGAGCGGACATCCAATAGCAGCAGACCCCCTGTACCTGTGCGGTTATAAAAACTCTGCGTGGCTTCCCTCACTTCGCTTCCACAGTATGGCCGGCGACATTAGCTAGCGCTCGCTCAATGCTTTTCTCTGTAACGGGAACACACGGAATACAAGGAACCGAACCGCACCGCATCGCCTGCACGCTTGCCTACTCCGCACTTCTCGCCTTCCATTTCCCTCCTTCCCCTACCCCAAAGGATCCTGAACAACCCGCCACCCTTTCTGCAACCGCTCGCTGATATATATTTTATATATGAGCGCGCGCGCACACACACACACACACACACACACACATGTATTTTATCTTATAACTTAATATAAGATTACTGCCCCATCCAAGGTAAAACCTGCTTGGGACGGGCTGAGACCCCACGAAGGCGCCGCGGCCCTGCCTAGAAGCAACAGTCCTATCAGCTGTAGCTGGTGTAGGTGAGGAGGGCGGCGGCGACAGCAGCAGATTTTGGTCGGGGAGCGTCGTTTTAATTTCTGTGGTTGGTTTTGCGGAGTTGTCTCACCATGATGGAGGAGAACGGTGCACACTTCTTCGAAGGGACTGAGAAGCTACTGGAGGTGTGGTTCGCCTGGCAACAGCCCTCGCCGCAGGAGCCGCACGAGAGTAATGGCTCCGGCGACCTCCGCACCATTCCCAGGTGAGTTAGGAGCCGGCAGGAGAGACGGTGGGAAACGGGAGGGTTAGAAGAACACGGAGGGGGTTAGCCGGGCGAGTGGGGGAATATGCCCGGCCGGTGGCGCGCATGCCCTGGTGAAGAGCGGCCGTCACGCCGCACCGCTGGGCGGGAAGCGAGCGAAGCTAATGGCCGGGGAAGAGGGGCGGGCATGGCGGCTGCTCCATTCAGGACGGCGTTATGTTGCGCGAGGCGAGGGAGGGTCGGGGCCCGCCCGCTCCGAAGGGGAGGGGAGGGACTTTCACCGGGACGGCCTTGCTGGGGGCGGGCAAGTGGGGGGGGGAGCGAGCCGGCCCCTTGAAGTAACGGCCGCTAACGTCCCCCCCCCCCTGGCGCATGCAGGCCCGGCCTCCGCGTGCGGCGGCTGATGGCAGGCAGGCCTTTTAAGTTCCCTCGTAGGCCGGCGCTCTGAGGGAAACTTAAACAGAAGAGCAGTTCACGTCGGGAAGGGCGGAGTTGTGACCTTGCTAGGGCGGGACGTGACCTTTCCGTGGCTGTCCTTTTAAATTTAAAGCAGGCCTCGGGGATTGCCGGTCGTCTCTTTCCTCCCCCCCCCAACCCGGGAATATATTCATTCCCAATGCACGGCGGGCTTTCCCGAGTGGGTCCCCTTATTTATTTGGCTTTGCGCTCCTTAACAACGGAGTGTGAACATAAGTTCTTGTCTTGTGCGGAAGGGAGTGTTTGATCCCGTGGGAAGGTCGGGGGCCACCGGGATTCTCGCAGGGTTTGGTATGAACCGAACGGGTAGACTTGATTGCTTGTTGGTATAAGAACTCGACGAACCCTAGCAAGTTGGTCATCACAAGTGGGCGGGCAGGGCATCCACGGACACATCTCTGCACCAGCATGTTCTTCAAGAGCGGATTGGGTGCTTGGCTTGCAGCCTCGTAAAGAGGCTGGGACTATTCGGGTTTTTTCTCTGAAACTGGCTGCAGCTTAGTTATCTGATTCTTGACCGCAAACCTTTTGTCGAAGTGTCGAGGAAGCATATAAGTTTCTTCTGCTTTTTCTGGTCTCTTCCAAGTACAGTAAAAAAAAAAAAATACTAATCATGCAGGCTGTTAAGGAAGCTGGCAAGGATTTTTTTTGTAGAATTTAGGGTTTGTTTGTTTGTTTTGCCCCTTATAGGGTTAGCAAGAGCATGACTGTAGGCAGTGGCTGGGAGTGGGAGGTTTTATGTATGCATTTATTTGCCCTTCTGGAATTCAGGCAATGCAGTGGGATAGACAGAAAAGCCCCTCCTGTGTTTAACTCAATTTGAAACCTTTTTTTAAAAAAAAAATAGGCTTCAGTCTCAAACTCCAGATGAAAAAGCTGCTCCTCCGTTAATGAGATCAAGCATTACTTTTTAGTGTTACTTTAAGGGGTTGGGTCTGGGACTGTCATCTAGTGGGCATTTCAGGAATGTGGAGGAGGCGCCAACTCCTCAATAGTCATGGGGGAAGGGTTGCATTCTCTACAGCCTTAAATGCACACTAATAGTACTAGTGTTTTACTTGCACTGCACGTACAAAATAATAGTTTGAATCTGCTTCAGTAGAATTTAGACATTTGAAAATTACAATGCCTAGTCTATATGCGTGTTTGAATGAGCTACATTTAGCAGAGAATAATTAAAGGTAAATGGAATAATGTACCCTTTCTGTGTATGTTTATTCTCATTCTCCTCTAATAATGTACGGCTAATGTGCTAAGAACATCAAAGAAATAATGGATAGTTTGGATAAGAAGAAAAACATGTAAAAATTTATATCTGTTCTCAGCTTTATGTAACTTTATGCATTTGTAATTTTTGTTAGCAAAGAGTAGTGAACTGCAGGAGTTTGTCTGCCAATAAATTACCTTTGTGGAATGCTCTCACAATAATTAGTGCACCTTCAGATTTTTTCTGAAAACAAAAGTCAATTTGGAAGGCCATGTCAAATCTCATTGGATAAGAGTTGCATTATGAATCAATTTGCCTACTGTGCAAAAATGTTAACTAATAATTGGGTTTGTATATTTCTGACATCAAACTACATTATGCCTATATATATCAAATATGTAGTAGCATAATTTAGTTTTATATGACAGTTCTATATTGTTTGAATTAATCTGTTACAGATTTAATGGTTTTCTAATATATTTCATGCAGATCAATTTTTAACTAAATCAGTTGTTTCACTTGATACTACATACTGGTTTGTGATTTGTACTGTTCATTTTGTAATGCAAAATCTATAAATAGCAAAATATAAGAAACTGCATAGTTACAAGTACCTAGACTGGATGTCTAATTATGTTTTTATTCTCTTTCCTTACAATATTCATATCATGGTACAAGCTTTTCCCTTGTCCAAATTTGTCCTTGAAATTGTTTTTTTATGTGGTAAGTTAGGCTGAGAAATTACTGATGCATATCACCTATGATCTTGACCATACAGCAGGGAAAGTTAAATACCAGTGTGCCCATTCAATTATTCTGGTAAATGTTTAATTATTAAAAGTTACTCTGAATTTATCCATTTATTTTTCTATGGATGGCAACTGTATGTTTCTCTATAAACAATCATTCATGAAGTATGTCAACAGATAGTTTCAGTAATACCCCAAGTGCTACTACAGGAATTACTTAAATTTATGATGGTTATAGACCCAAATTACATAAAAGAAATTATATAATGTAAAATACACTCTAGCATATATAGTAAAAGTCTGTACTTGTGTTTAGACTACTGTCATCAATACATGAATTCTGTATACTACTTTTTGACAGCAAGAGTTTCCCTGGAATTTGTTATATGCCAAAAGATACTGTACATAGAATTCATTTGTCCAATCTGGAAATGGGCGAAGAAGATGCCTTAATAGCTCGTTACAAATGCCTTAGTAAAAATTACAGTAAAGCAGAATGTGACTCTATAATTCAATACTCCATCTTTATAAGGACAAAGCTTTCCATCATGTGGAATTTTGCAGTATTTACTCTCCAACACTGCTGACAGTAAGATATTAAACTCTGGTAGTGTGAAGACCTTCTGAAACACATGTTGATCCAAACATAATGCTAGCTTGAAATAAAATTTCCTTTGACCCAGCATGAGCTCTGATTATGTTAACTAGTTGGGTAATAAAATGTCTGCAAGCAAATAACCAAGCTCAGAGATTAACATTTTTGCTTTCACTATTCTCCTGAATCAATGAAGGAGGGAGCCATTTTGATATCCGTTGGGAGATTGTTCCACAGGACTGGCATACTACGAAACAGCAACACCTTTGGTTTTAGTTCTCTTCTTTAAGCGGGGTGGGGAGTAAGAGCAGTTTCCCCTTTATAATCTAGTCAGATGGGTCTGTTCAGGTTGGAGTAATCAGTCTTCTAGATACCCAAATGCCAAGCCAGAAAAAGATCTGCAGATAAAGTCATATCCAGAAATCAATTGGTAGCTGGCCCAAGGTTCATGGCACTTGGCACATGCAGATGTGACATGCTGAAATTATCCTGAAATGTTTCTGATGTGTGCATGACAAGAAATATGTCAAAACAAAAATGTTCTATGTACGCCAGTCGCGAATTAGTTCTTTTTTGAAATAGGCTGCAACCATAAAATTGTTTCCACTGAGCATAAGAATAACACACCCCTCTCATAATATGAACAGATGTCCTAATTTTCAGAGATGCATGATAGATATATCCAATCTTGGTAACACATAATGTATACATGTTTCCATATATTCTAGAGTTAGAGAACCTATGGCTCTCCAGGATGGCAAGTGATGAATACTGTTGGACTTGGCAGCAGTGAAATGGCTATGATTTCATATTTCTGGCAGTTTGATACTAATCCAGTCATTTTCACATAATACATTGTCCCCCTTTTTTTAAAGAGCCTGGTATGGATTGTAAATTGCCTAGTCTGAGAAATTAGATGTTATCCCTATCTCTATTGTTTCCTGAGGAAACTTAAGGAGTATGATATCTTCTTGTTTTGCAAAACTCAACTGCCAAAGCAAGAATGTGCTTCAGCAGTCAGTTTTGAAAACACACAGCTCTCTTGTAAGATTATAGTGACTGAAGCTATTGAGTCAGCCAAAATTATATAGACCTTTAAACAGTACTGTAGCTCCTGCCAAGAAACTATAGATAGGGCTGCCATTTCCTATGAGTTGGTCATTATTTAAAGGGGGAGCATAAGGGTGGGCAAAACATTTCATGCACAGACCAAATCCAAATAATGAAAGTATTCTGTGATTCAGTTCAGCCAAACTATGACCCATCTGGAAGAGTAGGATGAACATTAAGCCACAATGTATTTGTTTGGTATATTAAACAAAATACATTTTCTAGTTTGTGCAGTAGGGTAAGCTAGCTTAATACAGGAAGGAAATATACAGACCTGTGCAACAATATGTTTGTGGTCTTTGGTATAAGAAAACTCTTGCTTTCTTCTGTACAACAACTAGGAAGTATAGAGGTGTTCTGTGGTTTAATCCTATAAAATCAGTCAAAGGATTAGTATTCTGTCTGACAACTTAGTTTATCCTCAGTTCTATCTTAAGATAATGACAGAAGTATTTGGCTTGCTGTGAAGTGTAACAGGCTTGGCATATGTGCATGGAATGGTTGCTGAGGATTTGAAAGTATTCACGAGAATTATATAAGGGATTTTTCACCTAATTCCGAGGAAATAAGAATTATTCCAGATTGTGTATTTTTATCCCTTTATTAATTTTATAAATAACCCAAGGCAGCACATTATTTTTATATATAACTCAAGGAGTACCTAATACCCTTTCCTCTTCCTATTTTCCCCACAACAACAATCCTATTAGGTGGGTTAGCAGAGAAAGTGACTGGTCCAGATAGTTTGAGCAATATGATCTAACTAGTGCAATGTCACAATATACTTGTTCAAATATTCAAAATTCAAGAGTGTAATATGTAATTAACTGAATACTGTAATGTCTTTATATTTTATAGTCTATATAACAACTATATAAGTTTCAAATTTAAATAAACTATACATTTTTCTCCTTTGAAGTCATGAATTATGGTGGTGACATCAAGCTCTATAACATAGTTTAGATTTACTACAAGTGCCTAAAGCTTTGACACTTGAATACTAGTATCAGAGGGCATTGGACAAGGTCAAAACTAGGCATTAAATTTGGTTTATAAGAAATATGCAGTATTTCAGCATGAAATACATGGTTTCCAAGAAGTTGGTAATTTAAATTGTCAAGAATCCGTAAAATTCAAATAAGTTTACAAATTCAAATAGTAATTTCTGACTTTCTACCATGTTGTCATTGTTGGTATATTTTTATGTCATTCTTAAATATACTTTTTTTAATAAGTAATAATGAGGTTGATAATTATATTATTTGATTAAGTTAAATTATAGATATTGTACAATAGTTTGCACATTCTGTTAAGTTCCTTTTTTATATTGAAATGTAGATTGACCTTTTGTGATAGTACATAGTACCCTCTTATTTTAAAAAATTATGAAATTCACTTAATACTTCTTTTATTGTATTCCTTTTGGCAGGTTTGAGTGGGACAAACTTCTGGAGAATGTGCATTGTTTGATCATAAGTGTGACAAAAACTGACAAGCAGGAAGCTTATGTACTCAGGTAAGTAAATAAAATTCCTGTACACAATGCATGGTCTTGTTTTTAATGTATTACAGTTTTACATAAATATTAACAACCATTCATTTAGTGACTGCTTGAAGTTTCAATGGCACTCAGGAATATCAGTTGCTCAGTTACCCTTCCTGACTAACTGGCTAGGATGTGATTGATCCCATTGTGTTAATACTTCCATATTGATTGGAAGTGTTCCCCTGCCTCAAGCAGGTAGTTATAAGAACATTATTGAAGAGATCATAGCATGCTTTGCTATGCAGTTTTAAGGAAACTAAATTTTTCGTTTTATGGAGAAAGTGGCTGAAAAGGAGTAGCACTGCAGCTTCTGACGCATCTGGTTAATATTGTTCACACCCATTTTTAAACAGCTTTTGGCAAGAATATACAGAGGTTAAGATTGTTGCCTTAAAGGATGACCCATATAGGTTATTGGACTGGGGAAATATGGCCTGAGTACTTTACCGAGATTTCTGTGCAACTTCTAGTAACATTTAACACTGACTTTATCTCAATGTTTTGATTGTAATGTGGTGCTGGGGAACTACTAACCAATATACAGTGTACAATGTCCCACAGCTTTTCATTTTGTCCCACAAAATCTACATGATAATTTGAGTTGAGTCATTGGATTCAATTCTCCAGTCCTTGAGGACCAGGGTGGATTTGATTTAAATCGAGTTGATGATTTAAATCACAATTTAAATCATGATTTAAATCACTAATAAAAAGGCTTGATTTAAATCAACTCGATTTAAATCATAATTTTTAAAGAGCAACTGTCATCTCTGCTACTCCTTTGACCCACTGTTGACTCACCGATAGTCCCAGTGTTGCAGAATATACAGCCTCATGCTACATAACTAAGCTCCATTTCATGCTGAATAAACTAAATTATTTATGTATCTTAAATAGAAAACTATCTTACGATAGATTTTTACCCCAAAAGTTTTTTATTAAAATAAATTCGATAAAAATCAAAAAAATCTGATTTAAATTAAAAAAAAATCTGATTTTTTTTATTTTTTTTAAAAAAATCATTGATTTTTATCCACCCTGTTGAGGACTCAGGTTCAACCTGTTCTGGGGAAGTTTGGTGACAGTGAAAGTTCTGTGCTAGTTAGCAGTATATTTTAAGAGATTTGCCCTGAGTTTTCAAATTCTATATGGCTTAGGACTGGACTATTTCAGAAATTGCTTTTTTGTTGTTAGAAACTTGTCTGACAAGTAAGAGCTACAGAATACGCCCTTTTGAAACTATTCCACTATTGGAGGCTTACCTATTTGGCAGAAAGAAAAGTCGTTCTGTGTTCTTGTTTTTGAAAATGGGATTGAGAATGAATTTTCATTATCAAACTGTAGTAGAAACAAATGTCTATGGAGATTCTCAATCATCCAAGTCATGGTTATCTCAAATGTGCTTTTCAAAAGGCAACTGGGCTTTTGGGGGTTTTTCCTTGAAAACATTTTGCTTCTCATCTAAGGAATTTTTCAGTTCTCTTCAAGGAACTGAAGAAACTTCTTGAATGAAAAGCAAAACATTTTCAAGGGAAAAAAAACAAAAAAAAGTCCAGTTGCTTTTTGAAAAGCACTTTTGGGATAACCATGACTGAGAATCTCCATAGACATTTGTAATAGGAAATATTCTTCTCCATGTTATAGGAAGTAGTCCTATCACATAGATACAATCACTTCATTAGATTCCATTATAATATAGGTCAAAGTTCAGAAAAAAGTGCTTCCTTAACTGTTGATTATATTGTACGTAATATGGTAAATACTTTTCACAATGGGGAGGGGGAATTCCTAAAAGCACCCCATTTATAATAGCTTGTGGACAAATACTTAATGATCATTTTTTCAAACTGCATCTGATGTCAAAAAAGACTTTCATTTCAACATTATTATAATAGTTTTCTATGTCAAGGCTTTGTTAAAATATTAATATATCAAATTAACATTTGTATTTAAATTATAATCAGTATTAAATATTCATTTTAAAATTAAGATTAAATGCTAATATATCGTACTACTATTAAATATTTTGAAAGAATACTAACATCACTGTAAGTGCAACATACCCACATCTCGATTTCTTGGAACTTGTGTTGTATTGTTCGGATGTTTTAAATATTCATGCAGTTTGAAGTTTGTCAGCGATTCTTGTAGCATGTGATGAAAACAATCATGTATTCTAGCAATGAAGTAAATTGGATGTTTCCATAAACAATTGCATGAGAAAGAAGTGAAAGATACCAGAACTAGATAAAATGCAGCAAGAGAAATTTATTGTTAAACGTTGCTATTTAATTATCCACAGCACCTTGATCAATAATTGATACTATGCTTATATGCTGATAGTTAAGCTGGTTAAGAATGTGATAGAATTACAGAACTTAAGGTTGAAATCAGTTTATTATTTGTTGTAATACTAGATACAATGAAATGTCTATGGAGATTCTCAATCAACTAGATCATGGTTGTTCCAAAGGTGCTTTTTCAACAGGCAACTGGAGTTTCTGGTTTTTCTTGGAAGACATTTCGCTTCTCATCCCAGAAGCTTCTTCAGCTCAGTCCATCTGCATTTAAAACACAAAAGCCACTCTTTTGAAGGCTGCAAAGTCCACATTTTGGACAGAGAGGACTGCTGGTTTGAAAGATGGGTCAAAGAGACCATTTATGTCAAAATTGAACAGCCCTCTCAACAGAGGGGGAGGGATACAACATATTCTATCTCCAGTCTACAATACAATCCTTTCAACAGTTCCAAGAAGGCTCCACACTCATTTGCACCGCTTAGGTGACCCTGTTGACACAGTTAAACCTCCAGGTGGCCTCAACAACTCTCTAAAAGAATGCAAATGACCAGCTGTCTGCAAGGAGTAGAAATCCTTCCATTCCCCACTATCCAGTGAGAGCTGAAGAAGCTTCTTGGATGAGAAGTGAAACGTCTTCAAAGAAAAACCAGAAAGTCTAATTGCCTCTTGAAATGAAAACTGAGTAATGCAGTGTTTGTTTGTTACAGCACCTCCAGAAGATATTAGCTGTTCAGCTAATATCATCATTATCATATCTTTATTGCAGAATAAGCAAAATTGTTAGCATAACAAGTAACATTTTAGTGTAATTGTGTGAGATATTCTTAAAAGAAGGAATTCTAACATATTAAAGGGGAATTTTAAGACCTGTAGGAAGTGCCACCTTAGGGAAGTAATTTCAAATTGAAGAACAAGTTAGGGGTACTAGCTTTCCCATATCTCAATCATTTTTTCTCTTTGTTTATGTCTCTTTTTTAAATTTTATTTTGGTTAACATGATGTAGTGCTTTGTCCACAATACCTGTTATTATAGAAGTATATTTCAAAATCAGCTATATCTATGAAAGGATGTCCTTATATTTATTGTGTTATAACCTACTGTTTCTCCAAAGAGTTCAAAGTGGATTACATGGGGTTCTCCTTAATGTTATCTCAGTAACTCTGTTATCAAATAGGTTCAGTTGAATTAATTAATAGCCTAAGTTATCCAAAGAGTTCTATGGATAAATAAGGATTCAAACTTGGTTTAACCATTAATCACCATTCTGATTCTAATATTTACTTCAATACCTGTATTTTGAAATCTGCTTTAATGCACTATGACACATTTCCTTACCTCAGGATTAGATAAGAGTCTAAACAGAGTTGCCCATGTGGGTGTGGAAGAGTCAAAAGGGACAAATGACGAAAGCAGTATCATTGTAGCATAATGCAAGTTGGATCTTTTTTATGTGTTGCCTGCATTTTGCATATCTAAAATCAGGCAGTTTGTATCACAACAGCACTGTGCTACTTTTGTTATTTTGATGAAAGCATCAAAGCCTGCAGAAAGTTCTTACTCTAGAAAAAAAGGAAATCAATGTTTCATGTTGCACCCTTTATATAAAGATTTATACAAATCTATCATTTGGAATTTCTAAAATCCATTCAGATATGAAATATATTAATTATATTTTGTATTTTTCAGTGAGAGTAGCATGTTTGTCTCCAAGAGACGTTTCATTTTGAAGACATGTGGTACCACCCTCTTACTGCAGGCACTGGTTCCCCTATTAGAGCTTGCTAGAGAGTACTGTGGGTTTGACTCAATTCAGGTAAGAAAAGAAAAAAAATTCTGAGACATCTTCAAAGTTGTTAACTATCAATTATATATTAAATAGTATATTGACTTATTTTTTGGTATATATTTACAAAATATATCAGTAGTAAATGCTGAGCATCTAATAGTAATTTATTATTGTACAATATATAAGAAATGTTTTTCAGATTAATTCCCCTAATAATATTTCTGGGATTTTCATATCTCATTCATACTCGGTCTTTCTTGCACTACATATTATCTTGTCTTCACTCTTGTAGTGCTCTGCCACTCATGAATGATCATCTTAAGGTTGCTGAAGATGCAAACTTCATTGTCAAGAGGTTATGCAGAAATACATTTAAACACTTTTCAGGATCTTGGATTGGCAAGTGTCTCAACACAAAGCCCGCAAAGATTCCTGCTTTTAGGATGACATACAGTACAAAATCATTGATCAGTATTGCTAATAATTTTATTGGTGACAAATGACCAATTTGCCCAATATTTTTTTGAAAGTTTTTAAACTTATTTTACCCCACTTCTGACTTATAAAATGCACCCCTCCACAGTATGGCTTTTAACTAATATGGCTATCAGAGGTTGTATGAGATAGCTCATCTTCATAAAGATGGAGTGGATATATTCAGATTTTTTGTTTGACTTAAATTGGGGGCAGCAGGAGGAGAAAATAACATTTTCTTGAAGATGCTGAATAAAAATGCCATACCTGTAAGAGATAAGATACCAACTTCTAAGTGGCAGCCAGACTTAAATCAGATAATCCATATTCATAGTAAAGATGAAATAAGGATACTGCCTCAAATAGGCTGGCTTTAAATGATGCCAGCTTAAGGTGGGGGATATTCAACATATGCTATTGGAGGCTTCAGTATGAGGCTTGCAAAATGGTCAGGAGAAGGAAAGATCTAAGAGTACTCCTTTAAGCTAATTGGCATATATTTTATTAAAGTTCTTGATTCTCCTTTTCTATACTCCTGCTGAAACTGCAAGCAAATGCTTCAAGAACATTGTTCATATCCAATCGTACTCTTACGTACTTCCTGAATAAAAAAATGCACTTGACAAAATGCTAATAATATATATTCATTGTGTTCTTAAATATCAGTTCTGTTCTTCATTATACAAATATGTCACGAACCAATCATTTTGAAGCTTTATAATAACAAAATAGATTATCCTTATTTGAAGAAAGAAAATATAAAAGCTATTGCTATTTCAGAGTTATTTACTGTACAAGTATGCATAACCATCCCATTCTCTGGTTTTAAGTAAATATAAACCACACTGATGTACCAAGCAGAGCTTGTGTTTTTGTCTCTCTTGCTTCTTCATTTGCAATAACAGGAATATTGGGGATGGGGAGTAATATGTGAGACTTCAGGTAATCTTAAAGCATAAATTCGTTAAAAAATAAAAATAGTATATATCATATTTTTTGGACTATAAAACGCACGGGTGTATAAGACGCACCAAGTTTTCAAAGAGGTAAGCAAGAAAAAAAAAGTTTTTGCCCTCCCCAGCCCCCAGGAGCACTCTGCAGGCTTCCCAAACCCTTTGTGTGCCCCATTTTTCGTAAAAATGGGATGCATGGGGCGGGGCTTCAGGAAGCCAAAAATGGCTGTATTCGATGTATAAGACGCACCAACATTTCCAACCTCTTTTTTTGGGGGGTGGGGTGGGGGGAGTGCATCTTATACTCCGAAAAGTATGGTAGTTGAAAAATTGGTCCAGTTGAAAATAAATGTTATTCTAAAGATGCCACTTTTTAATGTTTATACTCCACCTTGGTATCTTTTATGTAGCAAATTATATTGTTTATGAATTTCTAAGTGATTACTGCATTCATTCATTTATTTAAGTATAGATGCATGTCTATATATGTATACAGTGGTAAAACCTTGTACAGTAGATAATTTCCTTTTATATAAGCATGCAATTGAAGAAAACATACTTACTTTATTTGAAATCTTGGTTCCCCTCAGAGCTTCTTCTATTCACGTAAAAATTTCATGAAGCCTTCCCACCAAGAGTACCCACATAGGAATTTCCAGGAAGAAGTAGAGTTCCTTAATGAAATATTTCCAAGTAAGTAAATGTATTAATATCTCTTCAATATTACCTCTTCAATAAGTATAAATGTATTATAATCTCTTCAATTTACAAGTAAATTGAATTTTCTCTTCAATTTATAAGTAAAATCTGGCTACTCAGAATGTTTATGCATAGGAGACTGTTCAAATTAGTCATGATTTCATGGCTAATCTGACTGAAAGATATAATAAAAATAATAAAGCAGAAAGTTGCTCTGTCAGCAACATTTTATTTTATTTAACTTTTTCAAAACAATTACCCATGAAGATTTTTACATGTGCAACATAGATGCAGTGTTGTTTACTATCAGTTTATGATAGTAAGAATGAAAATGCCATTTGTAACTGAAGCCTAATTTAATACACAGACCTTGCTTTTGGCATGATATATGTAATAGATTTATATGCTAATATTTGTGGAGCATGCATTTTGTTGAAATACTGTAGATTTTTCTACTTAGTAGTATAGAAAATGATTGTACAGGTAAAAAATAGAGATGTACATTATTTTGATCTGAAGTGGCAAAAGGTGCTTTGGATCCAAGATGAACATGCTGTGTACCTGTTGGTTCCTTAAAGAAGCTGTTTACTCAAGGAAAGGTGTAACTTCTTTAAGGAACCACTGAGAGGCTGAGTAAGTATACCCACATCAGACCCAAAGTACATTTCCTGCTTTGGAAGAAAATACTGCACACCTCTAAAAAGAAACTATTTGCTACTTTCTATAATATAGTAACTACAGTAAATTACTTTAATACCAATAAGTATGGTATAGCTATATATTTTTTTTCTTCACAATATACTTTTCTTTTTCTTCTTCTTCCTAGTGTTTTTTCCCCAAGTGCAGGGTTCTCTTCTCTTCTCTTCTCTTCTCTTCTCTTCTCTTCTCTTCTCTTCTCTTCTCTTCCTTATCAATCAAGTGTTGATCCACTGGTTACAAGAGGAAATAACTGACCAGCTTGTCACCCATCCTGACAAAATGGCTGAGAGAAAATGACTAGCCCAAAGTTAGCCAGCCAGCTTTCATGCCTAAGGCAGGACTAGAACTCACAAATCTCCTTGTTTCTAGCCTGGTGGCTTAACCACTATATACTGCAGTAGTAAATAATTAGAAAAAAATTCTTGACAAAAAAGATGTAATAGTAAATACCTAAAGCCAGAAAATAATTCATTAAAAGCATTTATTGGTACAGTGTTCCATGATTTCTTTATGAGTTACAGAATGTTGTATAGATCTGTCTGTTCATATAGTCAGATTTAATCCAGGAATATAATGGAAAGAGTTCTTTTTATAAGACCACTTTTCATTTTATCTGCCACAGATGGAGCAGCATACTGCATGGGCCGTATGAATTCTGACTGCTGGTAAGTTTGCTTCTATCAGTGTAACATTTGAAGCAGTATAAATCTTTTTATACCAGTTTAGAATATTTTTTTCTGAAATGCATTTTTTAAAACAGGTACCTGTACACTCTGGATGTCCCAGAGAGTCGAGTAATCAATCAGCCAGATCAAACATTGGAAATTCTGATGAGCGAGCTTGATCCAGCAGTTATGGACCAGTTCTACATGAAAGATGGTGTTACTGCAAATGATGTCACTCGTGTAAGTCTTGAATTATGGTAATTAAAATAGATTAGATTAATTCAGTGAATATTAGAGCTTTTTGTCCGAACAGCCATTCATTTTCAGGCGGGGTGGGTGTGGGTGTGGTTGGGTGGTGTTTTTTCTCTTTACATACAATATGTGTTTAATGTCAATTCGTTTACATAGTAATACTTATTACGTTCCTAATTTCTACCTCTTTTATCCAGCCATTAACAAAACAAGTCCCAGGTTTGAAAATATTCTGTGTTCTTTTCTTTTGGTGTGGTGATAAAAAATATAATTTCCCAATTTTTGGATATTATAATGCTATTTTTTAATGTGGGTTTCTTGAAGGCAAATTATACCTATTTTCAATTTTTGTAATTGTGTAAAAAAAATTCCTTTTTAAGGGGGAGTTCAATCCGTTTATGTTCATTGACAGCATTCCACTTTCCTTCTCCACCTTCTTTACTTACTGGTATATATAGGTTTTATTTTCCTAGTTGTTCTTGCCTGTTTCTGTTCCTTTACCCTTGCTCCTTCTTGATCTGCCTTTTCTGTTTCTCCTTCTTCTCATTGTAGATTTCTCTCTTCTACTGTTAGTTCCTCCTGTCTTTTATATTCTACTTTTTCTTTTGCGTCTTTTTCCCCAGACAAGGCTATATAACTATCATAAAATTCTGTTGCCTTAACAGAATCCAGTCTCTATCTTTTACCATCCCAATTTATTAAAATTCCCTCTGGGATCAGCCATCTAAAATTTATTTCTCTTTCAATTAATTTAATAGTCAAAAATTTGTATTGCTTCTGTGAATCTCTTACCCTCCTAGAGATCTGTTTCAGAACCACAATCTCTTTTCCTCTATATTAAAATGGATCATCTCTTATTTTTCTCAATATTTCATCTCTCATTGATTTTTTTCACAAATCTCACATGTACCTCCCTAGTGACCTTGTGTCTCTTTGCATAGCTTGAATTTATTCTAAATATTTAATCTATCTTTCCGCGCCCCCCCCCCCGCCCCCATCTCTTGTTTCCCTATCTCTAGGGCACCCGTAACAACTCTATAATCAATTCCGGGAGATCTTCTTTATCTTCATATATGTTCTGGTTCTTAAAAAGTGTGCTACTTTTTCCATTTCTAAAACTACAACTGTATCCCCCAGATTTTTATTTGCTTGTATCAATCTTTGGTTTATTTCTTCCATTTTTTGTTCTGCTTCTTCTGATTTGTCCTCTATTTTCTGTATTCTTTGTTCATTGTGGCGTTTCTAACAAGTCCTGTGTATAGGTTCAAGATCATCTTGAGGTGGATCCCTTTCTAATCTAATCTTTGTATACCATATATTTTTAATAATGACTTTTTTGACATGTTTATTGTTTTATATCTTTGTTGTGGTATACCATCCATGTAACTTCTTGTGAGATGGCTAGCCATATAAATTTGATAAATAAACAAAATCCTTTGGAAAGTTGATAACAGATAGTCCTTGAATTACAACCATTTGTTTAGTGACCATTTGAAGTTCAACAGCACTGACAAAAGTTACTTATGACCATTTTTCACATTTATGACCGTTGCAGCATTTCCATGATCACGTGATCAAAATTAGGATAGTTGGCAACTGGTTCACATTTATGGTGGTTGCAGTGTTCCAGAGTCATGTTTTTGTTTTTTTTTTAATTTGATTTATATGCCGCCCTTCTCCGGAGACTCAGGGCGGCTTACAATGCGTTAAGCAATAGCCTTCATTCTTTTGTATGTTTTATACAAAGTCAGCTTATTGCCCCCACAAACTGGGTCCTCATTTCACCTACCTTAGAAAGGATGGAAGGCTGAGTCAACCTTGAGCCTTGGAGAGATTCGAACCAGCAGAAATTGCAGGCAGCTGTGTTAATTACAGGGTGCACTAAACCCCTGTACTATCAAGGCTCTTAATGTAATTATCTTTTGCGACCTGACAAGCAAAGTCAATGGGGAAGCCAGTTTCACTTAACAACTTTGTTACTAACTTAACAACTGCAGTGATTCATTTAATAATTGCAGCAAGAAAGATCATAAAATAAGGCAAAACTCACTTAACAACTGTCTCATTTATCAGCAGAAATTTTGAACTCATTTGTCATAAATTGAGGACTACCTGTACCATCTGCCCCTCAGCTCCATAAAGATAATTACATAGTCCAAATTTGAATGTATTCCAAATTACAGGTTCTTTTAGCATGCTAAAATATTTTCTTGACTATAATTCATGGACTAAAACATAATTATATGAGGTTTTTTTGTGAGAGGAGGGTTACTTCAAGTCAATGTTGACTCCTGGCAATTGCCTAGACATTTTTTCTTTGTAAAATTTTGGAAGGGGTTTTCCATTCCTTCTCTTTCTATGAAAGACTGCCTGACCTAGCCACCCAGCTAGCTTTCTGCCAAAGGTGGGACTAGAATTCCCAGACTATCAGTTTTTACTCTGATCCTTTAATCATTACACCAAACTATTCTCTAAGTCATAGTTTAACCTAACAAATAAATAAATCTGTTGAATTAAAGCAGTGAATGACTCCAATCTTCTAACTAAGCAGTGCTCTTATTTCAGCTTTACACTATCAAAACTGGTATTTTTTTTAAGCATTAGTTTCTAGTTGAGTTTGATTTTTAAAAAATCTTCCGGTAAAATACAGAAGCAGCATTAAATTATCTATACAAGAATTCTAACTATTCTAAAGCTGTAGCTGTGGGGCAATTAAGCCTTCATCTCAGATGCACCTTTAATTACTATTGTTTTGCTTTGACAAGAGTTACATCTATAAATATAGAAGAGACCTTGGTTGGAAGTTATTTAACAACTACATTTACTTTTTCTTAAGCTTCTTTCTCTTTCATTTCACTTACGCAATTCAAAATTAACAAAATACCTAAAGGGAAAACAGTGTTTAACACTTCTCAGAATATTAGCTGGAACAATGTTTAATGTTTCATTAAATATTTAATAATGAAATACCTCTAACAAAAACAAAGAGTAACAATAAAACCAAATAACATTTTTTAAAAAGGAGCAAAAGATGGTAAAATTGAGCAATAACAACAACAACAAAATAGGCACATTATTCAGAAGGGGCTTCAATCACCTTAATAAAGAGCCAGATCTTCAGGACTGTGAAAGAACAATAATGTGGGTCTCAGATGGGAGCTCATTATCTGAGAGAAGAAAAGTTTAATGATTTGAATGAAAAATAACTGTGGTAGACATAACATGAATCTTCTGAAATATTCATTAGTATGAATCTTCTTTATTTTATAGGTGAGTGGAATTCGTGACCTGATACCAGGTTCTGTCATTGATGCTACAATGTTCAATCCTTGTGGGTATTCAATGAATGGGATGAAAACAGAAGTGAGTTTGATATTTTTTTCTAAATTCCATTAAGTATTTTCAGAAACAATGTAACTACATTAAAAATACTAACATAGGTTATTTATTTTGCTCCTCTCCAGGGAACTTACTGGACTATTCACATCACTCCAGAACCAGAGTTCTCATATGTTAGTTTTGAAACAAACATAAGTCAGACATCCTACGATGACCTAATTAGGAAGGTCATAGACATTTTTAAGCCAGGAAAATTTGTGACAACTCTCTTTGTTAATCAGGTAAATATCTTTTATTTTGGGAACATGGTACAGATCTTTTAGATATGTTTTTAAAAAACTCCTAAGTTACATAATTGAATTGAGTGTTTGTTTAGTTTGGGAGTAGAAATCATAACCAGTCCCCATCTATACAGAAGTAAACAAATAACAGTAACTGAATCTGTAATAAAGGGAATCACCCATCCTCCAATTGACTTAACATCTTTATCAATTAAGGGAAAGTAGTTGAATTTCATCATAACAGACTTAATTGGCATACATTTCTATGGCTATAGCTACCTCATTTAATGCAATCCTTATAAATTTATATGTAGTAAATGTTATGCAACCACTAGACATTCAGAGATGTAAATTTGAGGCATATGCATTCTCAATTATTATACATATCCTTAAGATAGATGATTTATGGAAATAGAGCTATTCTGTGGGGCAGTACCTACAGTTGCTTCCACCATAACCAATTTCTCAGAAATCAACAATAGCTGCATAATCACTGTATTCTGATGTAAAATTTGCTAATTTTAAAGTTACTTAATGTAATTTTCTGATTTTGAATAATTCTTGTAAAACCATAACTTGCTGATCTTCTTTATGCAATTGATTTGTGAAAGGGATCATTTCAGTTTTACATATCCAGAAGATTGCTGCATATAAATTTAATAAGTAGCCAAGTGCATATATCCTTACATTCTACTTGTTTATTAATCTGGTTGTTCTGTCTTTCTTGTACATATTTTCTAACAGATCTATTCTGTGGTTTTGGGAAGCCAGGAGACATGCGCAATTCTTATTGAGTTCCCTCAGATACATTATTTTGTACTGGTTTTCCTGGTTTCTAAAATTCCTGAGTTTAATTGTTAAATCTATGTTAATTTCATTTTTAAATTATTCTTTTCATCTATCACCATTGTGGAAATAACATATCCTTTCAAATTAATTTTATTTGCTATTCTATTTTTTGTTCTACATAATCTTATCAATCTCGAAATTATTGTGAAACATTTCTAAACTTATTCCCATACATTCATTCTCTTGTTCTCTTCCAAATAATTATACCTACCAGCTGTGGTTCTTGTCACTCAGCTCAGAAACTGAGTTCTTATACAGGACAGTACATGCCATAGTAATGCTTAAAGCGCCAGAGCACACACTGTTGTATAGTTGAAGATAGTTATTTCTACACATTGTAATATTCCAAAGCTGATTTTAAATGTTTGATTAGTTTTCTCCAAGATTTTATTACTTTTCCTTTCTTCTAGAGCTCAAAATGTCGCACCGTGTTTTCTTCAGCCCAGAAGATTGAAGGTTTTAAGCGTCTTGATCGCCAGATTGCCCAGTTTAATGACTACAACTTCGTTTTTACCAGTTTTGCCAAGAATAAGCAGCAAAGTTGATTAGGAGGAATGAAGAAGAAAAAACGCAAAAATATACCCAATAGAGGTGGTGGTGGTTGCTTTCTAGTAAATGATACAAGGGGCCATATTTTTCATATCCACCTCGTAGTTGCAGAAAGCCCTAGATGTAATCATAGTATAATTTTCAATTGTATGCATTATTATAACAGAGTTTTAGATATATTGCATGAACACTCTCTTCTGTGTTTAGATATTCTATTTCACTTTTGCTGTGAAACTGAAGCGCATGTAGAAACATTTTACTGTATGAGACTCTACAGCATTTATAAAAACAACTCAAATAGGTTTACATGCAACATAGTTTTTCTCCAAGTATCACCAAAAATTCCCCACAGACAAGGATTTCGTCCTCATTAGAATTTCCCCTAGACTTACTTAACTAAAAGACTTAGTTGGCAAATTTTTTTTCATTTGTATGCTGTAACAAATTTTAAAATAATTATTGAATGTGTGGTTTCTAATTGGCACATTTTTGCAACAACTGAATAACAGATTAATAATCACAGTTTAAGATGTTGAAACTGATACCGGTAGAACAAAACTGGTTATGCTTAATGGGATATTTTCACTTTAAAAATATCGAACAATTTTTATCACATTGGATCTGCATACAATTCTACAATGAATTGAAGTGGCAATTTGCTGTGGTTAGCACATTACCTTTTCACCTATGGGTGAAAATGTATTTGTTTAGTTGTCAACATGTTTTGACAGTTGTGTAATTTTTGGCAAATCCATTCTTGCTCCATGTCCTTTGTTTAAAGGCAACCCATAGCAGTTGGTGGCAGTCGTTGGACATCTGTTTTAAATATATAAACAAAATTTTGACAATTAAGGACACAGTTGATTCCAGGCTTTTCAGAGTTCAGATGCAGTTTTGGCATCTAGGAACCTAATCGGTTAGAAGATTGGTGCGCTTTATGGTAATTTTAACAGAAATTTGGTAGAAAACGGTGAAATGTGATTTCAAACTACTGCACAAAATAGCTGCCGTTTCTTACTGTGAAATATGCTGGCTCAAATGTTAACTTTATATTAATTCAAACACAGGCCCTTCCACTCTGTAATGTCCTGTGACAACAATGCATGTGATGTTTAAGCTAAATTTAGCAATATTGTGACTTCATCTGTGTTTCTTCCTAATTAATATGCAGTTCTTTTTTACATGGTGTAGAAGGCATTGGGTGATTTCGCTGCAGTGAGCAAATATGAGGAGCCTAAATACAGTCATGTAAAACATTTATATGTAGTACAATAGTAACAAAATAGACATGGATATTGCTTCATGGATATTAAATGCAAGTTCCTGAGAGAGCATGTTCTGTCACCTCAAATGCTGTGGGATTTCAGCTGTTGAGACCAGCAAATCTTATAGATGTGTCATTCTAATCCTTGGCTGTTTTTGATTATGAGTGTTTTGTTCCTTTTGTATTTATAAAGGAAACATTTTTAGTGTTTCTATGTTATTAAACCTACTTGCTTGGAAATCAAGCAATTGGAACATTTTTTTCCTACCAAAATCAATAAATGTTGTTTCTGTGTAGCACCTAGCAGTTTATGGTGCTTTTGCTTTTTAAGGGCCAATTTTTCAAATGTTTTTATAAAGAGTACTCCAAGTCAATAGCACTCTTTGACATGAGATCTGTTCAACTACAGATTCCTTGAAGTAATGCTGGAAATGCAGAACTTTACATAAGCCTTGGATAGAAATAAAGCAGTTCAATGGATCTTCATGAATTAGTAGGCTGAACAAAATGGGAGGGGGATATGTTTGGTGTTTAAAATTATCTCTGGTGTTAGACATGGAACATTAAAATGTACAAAGATATATCTGTACCAGAAATCATAATGCTTCAATAAAAGTTTGCTTTCTAAGCTGCTGCAAATAGTAAAAATGCTACTACCCTGACTTAGATAATTCTGCTTTGTGTTTATAACAACAAAGCCTTGATACAAATTAACAGATGTTACCCGTATTTTCTCAATAGTCCCTCTATGTGCTGCTGAATGCCAGGGTGATTCAAGAAGATTAAATCTACTGGAAATGCTATTCTTGTTAATCAAACTAGAACTCTGTTTCTATTCAATGAAAAAGCATGATGATTAAGAATGAAAGCTGATATTAAAGATCTTTAAAAGTATCTCAAATTGTAATACTGTATAATCAATCTTAGAATGTTGTAAAGCTTCATGAAATTTTTACTACCATCTTTAATTTTAAAGACTGGTTTATTATTCAGAGATGAAAATTTATGAAATCTTCAAAGCTGAATTTACAGATATGCCATATCTTGGAGAGTGTAAGGAGCAAACTCTTATGTGTCCTACTGCTTATTTTTTACTAACTATAACATTTTAACTTGGATTAGTCTACATTCGACTGTGTAGCTCTTGGCTTTGTGCCCTCATGTATGAATTCCTATTTTCAAATCTTACAGGCTATTCCAATCAGAACTATGGTATGCACAGGTTTGCAATTGGCCTCTACAATATTATAACTTCAGAATCCATAAATTTTCATTTAATTGGACTCCATCTGAAGTCAGTAATTAAGGACTTCAAGAGAGGTGTTTTTTTAAAGAGCAAAACAGCACATCAAGTAGGAAACAAAACTCAATGAGACAGAACGAGGTTGGTGAGGGTGTTCCCCAAATAAATTCACCATTGACCCACCACTCCATCCATCTCAAGGCACATTTTCCTACCCATTCATCAGCTGTGAGGCATACTAGATGGAGACAGTTATGAGATTTATAGGGGTGACGAAAGAACGACTATAAGCATGATTTTAAAAATACAGTAGCATTGCAAAAAGCATTGGTTTATTAAAGATAGTATACATTGGTAGGTCCTTATTTTTAGATCTTGCCACCAGTTGATAATGGAACCATATATAATTGACAGGGACCTGATTATTTACCCTCTGAAGTAAATTTCTTGGATAACAGAAAAATGTGTAAATATTATTTATGACTTTGCTCTGGTAATGCTCTGCTATACTGATTTAAAACATTTAAAAAAATCTGATATTCTTTCTCCAGTATTGCTTTCCCATCTGAGGAAATTTCAGGGATTGAATTTCTGCCTTTTAACTTTGGTTAATCACTGAATTTGCATAGTCTATGAAGCAGCTAACTTCATTCCCACAAGTTTGTCTATGGCTTCATTAGCTCATTTTCTAGTGCAGACATGTTGGACTAAGATAAAATGTGGTTGGGTAATCTAGTTCAGTATTTTGTATGAACTTAATTCAAAATATAGTAATCACCAGGACCAGAAATGCACAAACTAGATTAAAATGTTCATTACAGTAGTTCTTGTCTTAAGACTGTAATGGAATGTGCCCATTACAGTTGTATATCATGATGGTTGTAAAAAAATCATGTAATTTTTAGTTTTTTTGTGGCAATTGTTAAAGCAAATGTGGCAGTTAACAAGTTAAATGTGGCAAACACGGAGTTAAGTGAATCCATTGTTTATTATAGTATGATTTTCCTGAGAACAGTCACATGACCAGAGGATGTTATAAGTGGCCATAAATATGGCCAAGTTGCTAAGAGCCTCTTGAAGTGTGGTCATGTGATTGCAGGGATGGTGGGGAACTGACCATCGAAACTTCAGAACCAGATTGTAAACTCTGTTTTCCAGATACGCTGTCACTTCGGTCATTAAGTGACAGCTACAAGTCAAGGACCGCCTGCATGTGGTTCACTATGTTGTGGCAAGTCAGAACATGATGGCTGATGTATCTACAAAATCTGACTTCAAAACCAAGGATAATTTTTCTAAAATGACAATTTGAAATGCTTATACAGAATCAAGTTCATCTATTGGGCCATATATATAAACTTTGATAAGACAGACCAAATAAAAGCATGTATTATAAACTGGATGCAAACCCTAAAGACCCAATAAAATAACAGGAAGAATTATGGAACAAATCAATAGTATTTACAAACTATGCTTTTAGAGAGAACTGATATAAAATGATTTACAGATATTCAACCCTGTCAATGATTGTTAATAGACAACTCTTATACGGTAGTAATAAATGCTGGAACTATCATGCGACAAGGAACACCCAAAAGTATCGAAAATTGGGGAAAAAAACACAGTTCAGAGAATCTTGAACAAATTGGAAATGAAATCACTTTTTCCCTGAGTTAAGTATAAGTTCAGAACATCATAAAAACATTTTTACTACTTTTTCAACTGTTTCCACCAATTTTTCATTATTGGCACATAATTTTTATCCATGTTCCAATGAATCATTTTGGTGACTGCAGCCTTCCAGCCTTCCGAGTAAAATGAGGACCCAGATTGTTGAGGGCAATATGCTGACTGTAAACCACTTGGTGTAAAGCACTATAAAGTGGCATGTGAATCTTAAGTGCTATTGTTCATAATCAGTTTGTGCGATCTTGCATGAGCTGAGTATATATGACATACTATTTCTTCTGCCTCTGCACAATCTGCAATTTGAATCATTTGGTGATTTTGTTCAGTTCTAGCCTTGGCTCCATTGGTTCAAATAGTTTGCTTTTGCACAGCGAAAATCAAGCTTTCAGTTTCTCTTTAATGTTCCAATCGTAAGCAATTGCTAGGTTTTATCTTTATCCACTTTCCCCTCGATCTTTTGTAGAAATTGACCATGTAATACTTTTCCTTCCCAGCATTCTGTTCGTTTGTATTAACATTATTTTGATATTCATGTTTTATTTCCTGCACATCCAATAAGTTTCAATTTTTAATTTACATTGGTGCTTGTTCTTGATTTTTACATAATCAGCCAATGCACGTTTTTTTTTTCTCCAACAGTTTCACCTGAAATAAACCTCTGCCTCCATTTCTGCAGGGCAGATATAATCCATATCACAGTGGAGAGGTAACACATGGTTAATACTCATTAGCTATTTCCGTCCCAATTGTCCAGCTCAGCTTGTTTCCAGCTAATAATTCCAGCAATGATTGTATCATAAGTATGGCCCAGGCTTTGATAACTGTTTTTACCATTCAATTTTATTTTATTTTTAAAAATACATTAAAAAATTAAATATAAAAAATTATAAAGCCAATCACTGTTGTAGAAAGTGTCAGCTACACAGCTGCAATAGTATTTCTCATCCCTAGTGATGCTAACGGGCAGAGATATTCCCCACCCTAATATGTTCACAGTAACTTTCTTACAACAAATCCCTGATAAAGCAGATGTATAAAGTGGTTTTGCATAAATAAAATGATAGGATGTGGGAACAACGAAGTATAAATCACAGGACAAAGTTAGACTTTTTTTTTTCCAAACCCTCAACCACCCTTCTCTAAAAATTAAAATCCGGGAGGCTGCTTCTGATTGATGGATTAAGTGCCCCAAAATCATCACCGACTCTTAATGACCATCGAAATTGATGTTCTCCATGTGTCCATAGCCGCCCTAGTCCTTCAGCTATTCATTACTACTGTAATTTAGTCCATCCACCTTGCTGCTTGGTCGTCTTTTTCTTCTCCCCTCCATCTTTCCCAGCAATATCGTCTTCTCCAGAGAGGTGACTCTTAACACGATGTGTCCATAACTAGGATAATTTAAGCCTAATTCATTTCTATTTCGGAAGAAAATTCTGGTAAAAGAAGGAAAAGCCATGTTGGCAGGCGAACTCGAGTGCTTCGGGCTACTCTACGCACTAGGCGCTTACCCCCCGGCGAACGGATCCGCCGTCCCCCCAGTCAGACTAAGTCATGAACAAGCCGTGGTTAAAAGCAGGCTACTGAGCTCAAGGTTCGCGCGAGGACCCACAACCCAAAACTCCCCCCCCCTCCGCCCGCCAGGCGGCGCTTCTGCCGCAGAAGACGCGCGAGGTTTCAGCTGAGATGGCGGCGGGAGCGTCACGTGACGCCGGCGGAGTCCCTGGTAGCATGGAGGCGGCGGATGGGACACAGCAAGAGGAAGAGGTCGAGGTGGGTTTGAGTGGCGGGGAAGAGCCCAGCGGGATGCGACCATTGCAAGATGCCTCTGCACGGCAACCGTCGGGGAAGGGACTTTCTCTCCTTCGGGATTGCCGAGTCTTGACGATGTCGCGGGGAGATTTCGCTGCCTGCGGATTGCCCTGCAGCCAATGTACCAAAACGGGAGAATAATATGTCTAGCTCAGGGTTGAAATGAGGGGGTCGTTGGTGCTCGCTGAGCTCGGTTATTTCCTTGCAGGCGTTTCATTACCCGAAGTAGGTAAGTAACATCATCAGTGCTATCATGTTACCTAGTTTGGGTAATGAAAAGTCTGCAAAGAAGAGTCTGCAGAGCGCACCAAGGACCCTTCGCTTTTGAATGGGCTGTGCTGCATTAACGGCACACACAACACCTGCAGCAGAATAAGAGCGCCCGTCAGCCTCTTTATAGGCTGGGTTGCTTTTAGGGAGGGAAGCGTGAATCTCCACCTCAGTGTAAGCTCCACTTCACCCGTAAGGAGGCGCTGAGGCTCTTAGCGCTGCTGCGTTATCGTCCTTGTTTTGAGCCTTCTCGGGCAGTTGAAAAACTCCAGCTTTTCCCAATTTGAAGTCCTCCAGATGTTTTAGACGTTGGTTCCAGAGGTGGGTTTCAGAAGGTTCTGACCAGTTCTGGAAAACCGGTAGCGGAAATTCTGAGTAGTTCGGAGAACCGGTAGTAAAAATTCTGACTGGCATGGCCCCCATCTATTCTCTGCCTCCCGAGTCCCAGCTGATTTGGAGGAAATGGGGATTTTGCAGTAACCTTCCCCTGAATTTGGGAGGGAATGGAGATTTTACAGTAGCCTTCCCATGCCACGCCCATCAAGCCACACCTACTGAACAGGTAGTAAAAAAATTTGAAACCCACCACTGGTTGGTTCCCATAAGCCTTAACCAACACTGCTGGCTGGGCCTTGAAAACGTAACTTCTGTTTATAGAGACCAGCGGCTTGATTCATGAGCGATGCTCTCTGGAAGCGGAATTGTTTTCTACAGCTTTGGGAGGAATCTGGATCTGATGAGATCTAGCCCTTTTCCCTTTGAAACAATGGGGGGAGGGAAACACTTTACTTAGGATATAAATATCATTTAATTTGTATTTTATTTCATTAAATGGGGAAAAAGCTGAAGGAGAGAATAGTATGGATGCAGACTTGGGCTC